ACACTTAGAAAATTCACAAAAAATATATTAAGTAAAAAGCGGGCACCAACCCAGTAGTTAATGTTACACAAACAGAGCACACAGGCCCAAAGAAAGACAAGTCACAAATATCGGCACGCAGGCCATAAAAACAACGGGCACGCAGGCCCGACAATCTAGACTACTTCACCCTCCTGATCAGCAGCCACGGGGACCTCCTCGGGAACGACAAGATAAGGGTCGACCACCTTCCCATCAACAATCTCGTGATATGGCCCAATCCCATCCACGACCAGTGCGACGCCGGGGTTGACAACCTGGATCTGCTCTACAGCGTTCTTGAACCCGACCTCGACAGCCTCCAAACAATCACCTTCCAGCACCCGGATACGGGCAACCAGATCAGCACGGGTGATCAACCGTTGATCTCCCTCTGTCTCGTCCTCGGCCGGACGAAGTGCGCTGTCCAAGACTTCCATACGAACTTTCAGCGCCTGCACCTCGGCCGTTGCCGCCCCCAACTTCTCCTCCAGCGAGGTCACCTTCCCCTCAGCGTCCTCTGCTCGTTTGCGCTGATCAGCGACATCCTTCTAACTCTTCTCCAATTCCTCAGTAAGCTTGGCCAACCGTGACTGCATAAAGGTAAGGTCCCCCTGCAATTTGGACAACTCGGCAGCGGAACAACCCTCCTCGTTCAGCACAAGAGCCATCGTGAACGTCCGCATCATTGCAGCCAAATCCTCCGCCAAGACACGTCGACGAGACTCTCGATCGGCCTGGCGGACAACCTTCACCTCCCCAGCAGAGACGGTAGGAGATCGAGCACCATGAAAATAGCCCGGATGCTGATGGCAAGGCGGGACAACGTAAACTTCCTCGGCCGAGCCGACCGTCAGATCTACCAAACCGCGGGGCTCCTCGGATCTCGGCCTTTTCACTGCTCCCTGAGACGTGGGAGACTGACTCTCTTGAGGCGAAGAAGACGAACTCTGCCCTCCCGGCGTCGCAACCTCCTGTTCGACCAACTGACTCACCCGCGTCCTCGGGACCACGTCATTCCTGGTAGCGCGCAACTGCTTCACCCGCTCCTCGACAGAAGACATGTTCGCTGCAAAAACAAAGAAAGAGTTAGCAACAGCCAGAACACCCGAACACGGAGAGAAAAGAAACATCCCTACCTAGATAATCCAGAGCGGCCGCCCCGGTGGCGCAACCGAGCAGAGTCTTAGTATTAATCAGCCGCTTCTTGGTTCGCACGTTCCCCTGTGCGTCGAGGATGTACCGACCATCAGGCGTCACCAGCTTCGACGGAGGAAGGGCCCGCACAAAGGCGACTATTTTCAAATAAGCGGCCATATCTTTCTCGTCGAGGGTCCCCGCTCGTACGATATACCTATCCGTACCTCGGTTGAAATGCTCCGCGGTCCACAACAGATGTATCTTGGGAAGCCACGCGAGGAACCGCTGGCCGTCTACCATTCGCTCGCCCTCGGTGAAGAGAGTATCCGAGCCCTGCTGTGTGATCAGTTTAACGAGGAAGAACCGACTTTTGAAATCCTTGACGGAATCACTATACGCCTTGAAGAGTTTGGTTGACTGTTTAAATGAGACCCATCCCTGGCGGCCATTCACCGACTGGCGCTGTAAGTGGAAGATACGGAAAAACAACGGTACCGTGGGCTCCACCTCGAGGTAGAAGCACACCACCTCGAAGGCACGGATGAAGGCCAAGGCGTTGGGGTGCAGTTGGGACAGAGCCAAGCGCAACCAATCGAAGAGCCCCAGATGAAAGGCGGAGAACGGTAACCTGAGCCGAGCCTCTTTGAAGTAGAACTCGTGCATAGGAAACATCCGCCGCCCATATCGCGAGCAGATGCGATGGTGCTCCTTCGGGCGGTACACCTGCCAATGTTGCGGCTCCCCGATAGGCGTATCCTCTACGGTGGCATAGACATCGGACGCATCGGCCACGAAACAGGACGGGGTAGACAGCGGCTCTTCAGCCACCCATTCTTCGACCGGGGCGACGCGCTCGTCAAAGTCCGGGACCTCGGGCTCATTGTCTTCGACCATCGTCCCCGGTACCAAGGCCGACATCTACACCTGAAAAGCAGAGGACAACGGTGAATTCGATAGCCAAGATCAAATCCACCCTTCCACCGCAGGTCAAGTGAAAGGGCGACAAAGGCCAGAGAACGGCGAGCAAACAGGCGCTCCCCGCCGACCCTCCTCGGGGCGTCCAAAAGCCAACCCACCATCCCTCCGCGGGACAGTCACCGGAAAAAGCGCGCGTCCCCGGGGCATTCATCGGAGAAAGCCCCCGTCCTCGGGACATTCATCGGAACAATCGATTCTCCCCGGGAAATTCACCAGAAAATCGCCAGATATGGCGGATCTTGCGTCCCTCCTCGGGGCATTCATCATGCCCCGACCACGAATTCTAACCAAGCGGCGGAAATAAAAGGAGAAGAGAAAGAAGAACTCACTTGTAACGGCGGCGAACGGGAGGAAGAACCAAACGGTGCGGTGGCAATCGACGGCAACGGCGGACGAGCAAGGATCTCAGAGCTTCGCAGGTAAAACAACAAAGTGAAAAGTAGAAAAATGAGCGGGGACCCCCGTATTTATAACCCGGTGCGGGATTCGAAGCAACGCTAGGCTCATTAATGACATAGGGTAGCCACCCCTACGACACGTGGCGGCAACCTGACAGTCGCGCCCCTTCACCTGCCTTCACCCCGCTCCGCCGACGACTGGGGATCCCTGCGCGAGCGCCCATTCCACCGCGCGCGAATCCCGACAAACCTCCCGTTTCGCTATCTCTCTCCCCGACACTGCGACCTTAAGTCCTCGCTCTTTCCCAGAACTTCGACTTGGGGGGCTCCTGTTCTGGTCTGGGCCCGACCTCGGCCCAGCCCAATGCCACGCACGGCCCAATAAGCGAATTGGCCACGTCGGGCACGCGCGTCCCGCAGGACGGGCAGAACCCTCCACCGGACACAAGCGACGCGTCCCACGACATCTCGTCGTTCCCTCTTATCGGCCAAATAGGACACAGCCCGGCGCATCGAAGCGAGACCTTGGTTCCTCCCCAACCTCGCGAACTCCCCTCCGCGGGGAGGACAACGTGCCCGGTGCACGTTCTCCACGTGCTCCCCTCCGCAGGGACGCGTCATCAACCAACTGCCCACCTCCGAAAGAGCAGGTCAAACCCACTCTCCGGAGATCTAGGAGCAGTTGGACTAGGGCGAAGACCACATCCTGGTCTTCACTACGCCACGTAAGCCCTATCAGTCATTAGGGTTGGGCCTGGTCATCCAACCCATCTCAAATGACCGTTGGCCCAGCGCTGGGGTGTCTCTATAAATACCCTCTTCCTCAAGAGGGTCAGGTAATTCACTTCTTGCCCAATTTCTATACTTTGCTCTCCCTCTGCCCAATTCCTTACTTTGACATCGGAGTGTTTTGCAGGTATACCCCCTTTTTTCTCCTCAGCACCGGTGAGCACGCAGCAGTCCAATAGAGTGTGGCCGACCCATGATCCCCTTCTGATCAGGTCAGATCAAATACTAATATTAGTTCAGAAGATATTGCATTTCTTATGTATCGATCTAACTTGCTAGCCACTTTATCAACTACTACCAGTCATAATAAAATTTTAAATGAATTGAAAGATGTTATGTCTGCTTTCCCAGAAATTGATAGTGTTTCCAACACATCTGAGCACTTGAATGACAATGATGACTGTTATGAAATTACAGATCTCGAAGGTTAATGATTATGTTTCAAGATAAGATCAAATTATTTTTCTAAAGATAAGATCAAATTACTTTTTATGAAGATAAGATTTGTCTTAATGTGCTACTATTTTGATGTGTTGTATTAATTAAAGGCAATGTGAGCCACATTATCTTTGAATTTTTTTTTTATTATTAGACCTTGTCGGCTACTTATTTGTACAGTTAGGATAATTTTAATTTTATTTGAAATTCGTCTGCTTTTTTTTCTCTATATAAAAGAATATAATTTGTTCGAAAGAACATTAAAAAATTAAGAGACTCAATCTAAAAACCGCTTACTCTCAACTTTTAAAAGCCGCTTACAATCAAATCTTGTAAGCATTTTTTAATCATATCTTTAAATACTTTCATCTTTTCTTCCGCATTTATATTAAAACCAGTGGAATACTCGGGCGTTTGCACGGATACCGATATAGTACACACATTTATTTCTAAAGTGTAATAAAAACAAAGTAAATAAAAAAAAATTGTATAACCAAAAAAAAATTATTCCTTTATAAAAGAATACATTGGTGTCTATAATTTTTTTCTATATAAAAATATTTGAATTAACAATATTTTTCTTTTGTATGTAAATATTATTTATGTTTTGATATTATTTTTATTTTTCTAAAATTATTTTTATTTATTTAAATAAGATCATTTAAAAATATTTGGATCAATAATATATTTCAGTATTTATATACTAATTGATAAAAATTTATTATTTAATATTTTAATTAACAATTTTATTTTTCTCGTTATATAGTCTCTTTAAATCCGTGGCTACGGATACTTGTATAGTAGTAAAAATAAAAAGAAAAAAAATAAAATTCCTTAATCAAACAAATTTATTATTTAGAAAAAAAAATATTTTTAATATATGAATTTAATAGTATTGTATGATAATTTGAAATATTTTTAATTGACCGGAAACCCAATCCACTTCCTTCAGAACCGTTTTGCCCCTCTATCAGTAGACACTGAAAACTACCCGGAAACCCAAAACCTCACCGGAAAACGCTACGGAGTTGCTCGTCGGCCACCAGAAACAGTGGTAACTACATCCATTTCCTTTTCTAATTCACACTCCCTTCTGCTATAGCGCGCGAGGATTCTCTTCAAGCGCGAGGAACAACATTTGCTTCTTCTGTGTAAAATTAATTCACATTTCAATTCATATGCTTCAAATTTCTGATTCTTCAATTTATATGCTTTCTTCATTCTGCTAGCTTGTTAAGTATGCATATCTTAGGAACTAATAGGTTTTGTATTGATTCTACTCTTTTAATTGGCACCCATTGCAATAACCTGTTATGCAAGATTTACGACCCTAATTACTCAATAAGTAATAGTGCCACCAAATTGTATCCTATACGGAATAAACGAAACTTGTTATGGAAAAAACCTAGTGATTTTGACATCCATAAACGTCATTTTGATTCGGTATTAGTTGGCGTTAGTACGGAGGGAATCGTGGAACAAGTGGTGGAAGGAAACCAGAAAAGATTTAGGTGGAATGAGATACGAGATGGTATCACGGAAGAACAAAAGTTGGCTATATCGAAACTTCCCTTTAAGATGGTTAAGCGGTGTAAGGCCGTGATGAGACAGATTATATGTTTTTCTGAAGAAAAGGGAAAATTGTGCGATGTTTTGGGGGCTTGGGTGAAGATTATGATGCCTACTAGAGCAGATTGGCTTTCGGTTTTGAAAGAGTTGAAAAATATCGATCATCCTCTTTACCTCGAGGTAATTATTTCGCGTCTTCTACTACTTTTTTTGGTACAATTGTGATAATGAGATTTGTACTGATGAGCTTATGCAGATTACTTATCAGTAGTATTTGTGCATCTTCTAATTTCAATTGTATAGTATTTTTTGTTTATGGGCTATTGTGATGGATGAAATTTGATTTACACACTTTTATAGGTGGCAGAGCATGCTCTTATAGAAGAATCCTTTGAACCCAATCTTCGCGATTATACAAAGTTGATTCATTATTATAGCAAGGCGAATCAACTCGAAGCTGCTGAAAATATTTTCATGTTAATGAAGGAAAGGGGCTTCATCTGTGATCAAGTGATTCTAACCACCATGGTTCACATGTACAGCAAGGCTGGCCATCTTGAACGGGCCGAGGAATATTATGAAGAGATCAAATTGCTCGGTGAACCTTTGGACAAAAGATCATACGGCTCGATGATTATGGCCTACATTAGAGCTGGAATGCCTGAAAAAGGAGAGAGTTTACTTGAGGAAATGGACGCGCAAGAAATATATGCAGGCAGTGAGGTTTACAAAGCATTACTTAGAGCTTATTCTGGGATCGGTAATGCGGAAGGCGCGCAAAGGGTTTTTGATGCAATTCAGCTGGCTGGTATTATTCCAGATGATAAGATGTGTAGTCTTCTTATTTATGCCTATGGTATGGCCGGGCAAAGTGAAAAAGCTCGAATTGCATTTGAAAATATGAGAAGAGTTGGTATCGAACCTACTGATAAATGCATATCTTCAGTACTTGTTGCTTATGAGAAGGAAAACATGCTAAATACAGCATTAGAGTTTCTAATGGATTTGGAGAAAGATGGCATTATGGTTGAGGAAGAAACTTCTAGAATACTGGCTGGGTGGTTCCGGAAACTCGGCGTTGTGGAAGAGGTGGAACTTGTTTTAAGAGACTTTGCCACCACTACCGGTCATCAAAGAAGCTAATGTAGAGGTACTGCATTTTAATTCATTTGAAGTTGTGTGGGAACAATGTCCCTAAGAAATCACTCTTGTTTTCAATGTATTATAGTCATTTTAATATGCAATACTATGCAATGAAAACTACCCATTTCTTTCCCTTCTCGTTGTAATTCTGGTCTTGTAGTTGAACAAAAGCAACAAATTGTTACTTCTCACATAAACTGTCTTTTAAGATTTTGTCTTAAGGTTTTAGAGGCCATGTGTAAGTTAACTACGTTTCAATATGGTTTAACAATTACAAATATTTTATGAGGTTTTATTTAGATTTGATTTAACTGTGACAACTTTCAAGTTCTATGCTGTAGGCCTAATTTACACACTCTCAAAGACAATCCTGCACATAAAAAGACGGCCTTGCACATAAATAATAGAGCTTTGAAACGCATGCAAAAACAAACTCAATATGCACAAACATAATATTAACCACCTCTATACTTAACCATACCTCCTAGAGAAAGAAAAATAAAAATAAAAAAAACACCTAAAATCGAAATGAATAACAACCTGTCACTAGAACCACCTAAAGGCCATATCAAATTGACGAGGCTATCTCGCAAAAACATGCTATCAACAAGAACTATCAACAAGAAGTAATTGTAATAGAAATTTAGCAAAAAGGAAGGAAGAGAGTAATATATAATAACATAACCATGATTAATACATAATAATTAATTGGTCTATACTGATAAATGTTGGAGAATTTAAAATCCCTTGCTAAAATATATCCCTTGTCCGGTCAAAGGAACACAAAGATAAATGAATTAATTTCAAAACATGACTGATCATTTATAAAATTTGGAAAAGGAAGGAGATGATGAGGCTTTGGAGGATGATCCTGATGAAGAACCAACTTGTCTGTGAGTAAGGTCACATGCCACTGATTGAAGCCCAGAGCCAGAGGTTGATATTGGGCCATGAGCAGCTACATATTGACCCGGGTCAATATTGGGCCTCTGTTGTTGCCCGGACAATGCAGGTTGGCCCATTGGATCAAACAGTGTAGACATGTCATAGGTGACCGGCATAGATGTGCCGGTGGCTGGTGGTAGGTCGGCAAAGGAGAAGACCATTGGTGCCGCGGCCGGCGGTGATGTTGGTTGAGGTGGTTCGGTTGAGTTAAGTTGGTTTTGTAAGTAGGAGAGCTCAGCATGTAAAGTCATCACCTGGGGAACAATCAAAGAGCAAAAAGAAAATATCATGATCAAGACAAATAGTATTTCTTAAAATAAATTTTTAATTGATTCTTCAAAATTCATGCTCATTTGTGTTAGTTTTTGAAATATTCTTATTTTAAATTAAATAATAAAAATATGAATCTTCTAAAAATAATCAAATTTGTCATATTAATGTTTGACATATTTCTATGTACCATTAGCTTTGTCTTAGGATGCAACTATACATTGAAAAATATGAAAGCGTGACTTTAAACAAATTTCTTGAAGAGATAAATAAGAGTTTTGTATAAACAAAGTCATTTGGGAAAAATAAACATGATTAAACTTGAAGGAAAAAAAAATCTAAGATCAGCAATCTTAGTGAAATAATTTGAAGATTAGCATTGTTAATTATAAATAATATTTCTGATTTTGACCTTGACCTATATAAGCATGGGGATTATCAAATTACAGTTGTAATTTTTGAAATAGAGTACTCAAAGTCAACCAATTATAATATTTATTACTCCCTAGACATATTATATATTTTATTTTATAGCATTATAGTATTTTAAAATATTGTTTTTGTCTGATAAAAGTTTATTAAATAATTTGGATAACATAGGAGTAAGTCAACAAAACAAATAAATATTTCTCTTCATGCTTTTTAACACTCTTATTCAACAAAGAAAAAAAATACATGTCATAAAAATAATCTACTCACTAAGAATATTTTTAACGATAGTATTTTAAGGATCTCATTTTATAATTTTATGTACACCAATTCAATTTTATGATATCCATATTTTCACTCTAATAAAAAAATTAATCCTTAAATTGTTTAATTCACAAAATATTATATTTCTCTCTTATATTTGAATCTATCTTCAATGTTTATACTTTTAAATACATAAAATTAATATTTTATTTTTATAAAATTCAATTTTTTTAAAATCTTAATAATGTAATTTTGATTAAATTTATAAAAAAAATCTCATATATAATCGACATAACAGACCAAAATAATATTTAAATAGCCGTTATATTAATCCAATATATACATATTTAATAAAAAAAACAGACGAAACTTTGAAAAGAACATTTGTAACGCACATGAAAGTTTGAGAGAAATTATTAGCCGTTTTCAAGTTTGAATATCAAATTTAAAAAAAAAAAAAGAAAAGATCAAAGTAATTTTATAATTTCACAAAATATAAAAATTAATTTGAATTTTGAATTTCCTATCAAAATAGCTTAAATGCACCATGAAAACTACCGACCATATCCCTAAAAACAGCATGATCCAAGGACTTTGTGTAAACTAACTCATTTTACTACATAACAACCGACCACATCATTTCTTAATCCATTCAAACATTTCACTAAAATGTATACACAGTGTTCCCTTTCCATTCCTTCCCAAACCCTACCTTTTTTCTTTTCTTCTTTTCCCAAACCTCATTTTTGTTTCTCTTATATAAAATGTTGATTAGTCCTTGAGTCAAGAAAAAGAGATTCTTAAACAACTTTATGATTCACCAAAGTAGTTTAGGAAAGGGAATAATAATTAACACATCTAAATTAAGAAGCAAACAAATCTAAATGTTAATTAACTATACTTTTCATCTGAGTTCGAGTTTGAATACTGAACAGAGTTCGAACCCTACTACTGAATAACCGAATAAGATAAAATAAACTATAATTCTAACGATCGAAATCAATGTTGGTTAATGAGTTACCTGTTGCTGGAGGGCAAAGATGTGACCAACACATCCATAGATAGGATCTCTCAACCTTGATTGAGCTTCATAGCAAAGAGAGATTGCAGCATCAAGCCTCCTATTAATTGGAATACCAAGGAGAAGTTTTGATACATTGCTAGCCCCAAACACCTTGTGCACAGCTGCAAAGTGTGTTGCACCATGCTCCGAATCGAAATACGGAGCAAAAACACAGTCTTGCACACACTTCCTCCTCAAAAACTTACATGCTCCACAAGGACTTCCGCTGCTTCCGCCACCACCACCACCGCTACCGCTGCTGACAGTAGAGTTTAGACTCATCTCTAAAGCTAGGGTTTGTAGTAAAAAAAGCTAGGGTTTGATTAAATGAAGGAAAAATGAAAGGAAGGAATTAAGGAAACTAGAGGAATGATAGAGTATGTTTGTAGGAATATTTGGTGGGGCTATATATATATATAAGAGAAAATGCTTAGCCTCCAAATCTTAGCTTCTTGCGTGAAGAAATACATTAGATAAATACATATATAAGTTGGCTTAAATGATTAAGTTTTCCTCTTTTATCCTTGTTGTTCTCGTGAATATTTTCAACATAACTCATGCTGTTTTCTCCAAACACAGTTAAGAGGAAAGAATAACAAGAGTGTATAAGTTGTATATCATGTGATGAATGCAAGTTATGTATTGGGAAAGAAGCTTTGGATTTAGAGTAGAGATGAATATGATGATGTATATGAGAGAAACGTGTGATGGTGTGGCTAAAAATGACTCACACTTTTGTCTTTTTCTTCTTTACAAAATATTACAGCTAAAATAAACTAATTAGCATAGGAGTTATGGGAGGAAAATGATGTTAATGTGTTGTTAGTATGGAGGTTTCTTAAATTAGGGTAGTAAAGATACACTTTACAATGTTACTATGTTTTGTTTCATGTTTTTTTGAGGGAGATATATAGATTGTGAGAGAACAATTAAGAGATGAAATATTATATGATGAGAGAGTGGAGAGTATAGCATGTTTCATTTTTTTAATTGTTTCATATTAAAAATAAATATAATACTATTTTTATTCTAATAAGTGATGTTTAAGAAAAACAAAACATTTTTGTTGATTAAAAGAAAATCAAAACAAGTGATCAATGAGTATAACCGACTCTACTTGGAGTGATTCAATTTATTTATGGGAAAATTCTAATAAAATAATTAATATTTGATAAAAAATATTACTAAATTGAAGATAATTTATTATAAATATTGATACTTCGTAATCTCTTTCCGTCTAAGCTGTCACATGTTATAAAAGTTTAATAAAAGAAAAAAAATTTAAAAAGCAAAAACAAAGGTTAGATTGTCATAAAGAGGGATTTAAGGGCATATGTCTCATGAGACATGTGTCTCTCCATATAAAAATCTAAATTTTAAAATGGTTAGATAAACAACTAACTGTTAGATCGTTGTAAAGAGGGATTTAAGGGCATATGTCTCATGAGACAGGTGTCTCTACGTATAAAAATCTAAACTCTAAAACGATTAGATAAATAACTAGTATAGAAGATTAAAGATAAATAAAAGTAAAATGCAATGAACAAAATTGATCTTTGTTAATGTAGTTCGACCAATTGTACATACCTCTGTGACTATAAAGTATCTATAGTTTTCTTTATTTTTGTCTTATGAATTGATTAGATTATAGTGTTACAAGCCATATAAATATATATAATATTAAAATTCAGTTTATCTAAAACTCTAATTCAAAGTTTTCCTCAATAAGCACTTGTTTCTACCTATAATTTTCTCAACAATATGAGTTATACTCTAAACAATCCATAATTATCTCAACAATATGAGCCATACTCAACAATATCCGCCTTGACGAATATTAAACCCCTATGAAGACTTTATGCATGACGATTCATCTTGGAAACTGGGGAGGTACACATCTTTCTTAACAATGGGAAACATGTAATAAGTCCAAGCAATGTCTAGACTTGTCACTGATGACTAAATTGGTCAACATATTAGTTGTATTCTCTAAAGTATGAACCTTTTCAAGTAATATCTGTCCAGATACAAGAAACTCTCTGATCTTAAGAAACCTTACATCAATATGCTTGCTCTTGGCATGATATCACATGATTGTTCTCCAAATAAATGATAGTCTGACTATCACAATACAACCGAACTCCACCTTGTTCAACATCCAATTCTCTCACCAATCCTGTAAGCCATAAGGCTTCTTTGGAAACTTCGCCTGCCACAATGTACTTTGATTCAGTTGTCGAAATGACCAGTATGAATTGAACCAAAATTTGCAAAAAAATATATAGGTCCTCTTGCTAAAGTAAGACATACCTTGTTGTAGATCTCCTATCATCTATATCACCAGAACAGTCTGAATCAAAATATCCTACAGTTGAAGGATCATCCCTTCACAACTAAACATGATACCATATAACTTATAGTACCCTTAAAGTACCAAAAAATCCACTTGACTTCTTTCCAATGACGTTTTTCTGGTTTAGACATAAGCTTACAAACTTGACTTACAACTTGTGCAAAATCTGGTATAGTGAAAATCATAACATACATTAAACAACCAACACCACTGGCAAAAATAATCTTTGATATATACTTAACTTATGCATCTTTCTTTGAACACTGATTCAATGAGAGCTTAAAGTGATTCGCTAATAGAGCACTCATAACTTTCGAATTATTCATGCCAAACTTGTCTGACACCTTTTTAAAATAGCTTTTTTAAGAGACTCATAATTTACTAGCACTACTATCACTTTGAATTTCCATACCAAAGATCTTCTTAGCAGCACCTAAGTCTTTCATGTCAAACTCCATTCCCAATATGATTTTAGTTCTTTTACATCATGTAAATGATTATCAGTAATTAACATATCATCAATATACAATAACAAAAAAATAAAATAAAAAAAGTCATCATCGAGACTCCTAATATCAACAGTCATACTCACACCTTTATAGCCAATCTTAATCATGTATAATCAAAGCACTTCTAAAATTGCATTGGAGACTGCTTTAAGCCATACAAAGATATACCCAATTTACAAACTAGTCTGCAATGTCCAGTGACAGGGAACCCCTATGGCTGCTCCATGTAAGTTTTCTCATCTAGATTATCATGAAGAAATGATGTCTTCAGATATATCTTTTCTAAAAGCATGTCTTGACTGGCTACCAAGACTAATATTGCCCTAATAGAAGTATGTGTGATGATCAGAGAAACAAATCTCATCATAATCAATATCCTTTTATTGTGCGTATCCCTTTGCTACATGACGTGGCTTGACCTTTTCCCATTATTTTTCTGTTACTGCTAGTTTTCTTTTAAACACACACTTACAACCGATGACCCATTTTCCCTTAGGAAGTTGGACAAGTTCCCATGTGTGATTTTTCTTCAAGGACTCCATCTCATCCACCATTGCACCCATCCACTTATCTTTCTCCACTACTACAAAAGTACATACTACGACGACCATTTCATCATAGTTCATTAAAGGACCATGGTGACATCTTGAAAATTAGGCGCCATTATTTTATTTATTTTTAATTAAAAATAATTTATATTTTACCACGGTTGGATAATTCAATTGTGGAAAAATCTGATAAATTTCATGGTGATTCAGTGCCAACAAATATGTGATTTCTTTAAGATTATAGTGGCACCTTTATTTTATTTTTAAACTAAGTATATGCCAGGTGTCACCATAGATGGATATGCCAACAGTGGTGATATGTTTTTTTTATTTATAAATTTTTTAAGTGGTTAAAACCTGTCGCTTTGATAAAATAAAATAAAATAAATGGGATATCACTATGGTTGGATTATCCAACTCTGATGAAATTTTATATTCTTATTCAATAAACTCAACATACCTTGTCAGGTCTATTCAATTTTCATCGCGTTATGAAACACACACTCACCGCTTAGGAAAATCATTTGAACGAACAAGTTTTTCAACTCCATTAACGAAGACAACATTAAACACATTTGATCTCTAACTTGTTCACTATTGTGTCATCTCCATTTATTTACCATCATATATTTTCAACCAGTTTTTCAACAAACGCAGAAAAAAAACTTCATTAGTATCGCTTTAGGTTGTATAGGAAACAAAATGCAAAAGAAAATACGAAGGAGGAAAACAAATGATACTTACAAGAAGGAAGGATGAAACTCATATCATTTAGCTCTTTTACTTTTTCATCACGTTTCTAGTACGTAAAATACCTCTACCATGCATGTAACAGTAATGTTATTGAGATATCACAAATACAAATAACATTTTTTATGACAAAGTTTTCACCTCGAAATGCTAAAAACCGAGAGTATAGTTCCTGGTAGCGTCATGCTAACAATCTTTTACCCCGGTTATCCATAAAACTAAGGGAATATATCTATAAGGAGCGCTACTATATTTTTAGTATAACCAATTATCATCGTCTTTTGAAAAAAATGAGGGAATATAAATATTAGGGACACTTCAAATCCCGATTACTATACTTTTATGTTTTTTTTCAATGGTTTAATTATCATTTCTCACTTGGCGCCTTTCCATATTCCATTTTTTCTTTGTTAAATTTCTGTCAAATTAATTAGTAAAACACAAAATTTTTGTTATCAATTAAAAAGATTACGCAATAATACAATTGAAAAAGAAAGGAAAGTTTTCATTGATAATCAGAGAATCAGGAAAACATATAAGAAAAAAATAGGACAACAAATAACTATTCGACATATTCAAACTTTTGACTCAACTCAACTTCAGCTTTTAATCCTGCTCTTTTTACCCTTTTAACTATCCCAAAATAAGAGAAAAGTTCAAAAAGAACTCTTCTCTATGGTATGAGGAAAGTTATTTCATCGCGAGAGGTTACAACTATTTTCATTAAGAAGTTAAAAATAGTAAAAGGAAGATTGATTTTGATGTTGTGGATAAGGAAGTACAAAAGATGCTTGTCATCTGAAGTAACCTTTTCTAATTATTTCTCTCTTGGATAAAGATTTGACACTAGAAGTTGATGCCAAACTTTTGCAATTGGGATGAGAGTAGCAGGACTGGTGAGGTTATTGTAGTTGGCATAAATTAGGAGAAGATGGTTTGAGCAATAAGTAATGGAGTAATGATGATAGGAAAGCCATATACATTGGACTGTATTGACTTAAAATCCTCACCAGATTGCCCAACAGAGGAATTTAACTAGAACTCTATTATGATATTAGTGTAGATGAATCCATGAAACATGTTAAAGTAACCTTTCAACTTATGTTTGGAAATATTTTTCAC